GCAGATTGTAACAAAACTCATATCTCTCTTTTCTCTCCCCCAGCTTTAGCCTTTTTTCTTACTTCTTCATTTTCTAATAGTACTGTAAAAATTATTTAGAAATCTTCTTGAATTGTTTCTTTTCTCTTGCCTGGCACACACTGGAGTCTCCTCTTCATTCTCTTGCTACTTCTCTTACTCCATAAAACAATGATATCTGCCATGTCCTACGGTACAGCATCCTGTACTCAGCTTACAGGATTGTATGCCCAGATCACTGACTTAAGCTAACTTCCCACCAGGTTATAAACTCCATGCAGGTGAGACCACATCTGCCTTCATCCTGAACTACTTGGTTGGTGCATTCATGTGACTAATATTTTGTGAATATTTGTTAGCTGCCTCTCAGACTGGAATACAGTCTCCTTCCACATTAAATCCCATTTAAGTTTAAATGATTCATATTATTCAATAGCAATAAAATTTGATGCTCCGATGAACTTCATTGATGGATGTAATTTTGTTTTTATAAGAGTGTTAGGCTCGGTCATATATATTACTCTAGTAAAATTGATGTTTCTAAACAAAATCTTTATGCACCAATTTACAAGACTACATTGATACAGATTTGGGAAAATAAATATGGTGAAGAATTTATAGATTACGAAAAAATGAAGCAAAATGAAAAAGTCCTCAATTAAATTCTTTCTCTCATGCTTGTGCTACATGTGATGGTAAACTGGTTTCAATGGTGGAAAGTCCCAATACCAATTTTGGTCAAATAAAAGTCCAAGATGTTGCTTTCTTATTAAGATTTAAATTAACAGACTTTATGAGTAAAGCAATCTTGTCCTTCATAATACAATGAGGCTTCACACAATCAGGTGAAGGACTTAAGAAAAAACCCATGAAGTCTCCTGAAGAATTCTGCACCACCCACTGCCTTAGACACAAGACCATAATGTCTGCTCTTCCCAGGGACTTTATTCTGCTGGACATCCCTTTGAATGGTGGACTTATGAATCTCTAACACTGTGTAGGCTGTATCCTTAAATTGCACAGAGACATGTGCATGCACACATACATGGACATGGACATACACACACACACACACACACACACACTCACACACAATTCTATGATGGTTCTGGACAACCATGTCTAACAACTCTCAGCATGTCTTGAAGCTCACAGAGAAAGCAGCAGAAGAGCACAGGGAGATGTGGTAAGCTCTTTCTCTGAAGGGCTGTAAATTTGGCCAACTGCTGAGATCTTCACCCTGTTGATGGTGTTTAAGTGAGACAAGGTCTCACTATGTGTGTCTTGAACTCAAATATTCCTTCCTCTGCCATCAGAGTGCAGGGATTGCAGGTGCATAACCACATCTAGCTTCTGCCTTCACTTTGAACAAGCAGTATACTTGCTTTGTGTAGGAATGTGTACAAACATCACAAATCCCAAGAATAATTTTCAGATATTGCCACTGATGGCTCAATGAGCTTCACATCCTATTTAGTCATTAAATCTATAGTTCTTGGGGCTGGAGAGATGGCCCAGGGTTTAAGAGCACCAGGTGCTCTTACAGAGGACCTGGGTTTGGGTCCTGGCACCCACATGGCAGCTGGAAACTGTCCTTAACTCCAAGTTCAGAGGGATCTGACCCCCTCTACTGACCTCTGCAGGCATTGCATGATATGGGTGTACTTTTGATCACCTACAGACACACTTTAAGCATTTCACACACGTGCACATCATCTGGAATTCTATGAAAGCACTGATTTTCAGTAGCTCATGCTTCATTTTACATGAGCACCTAGGTGATGATATTATTGTTATCAGTGGGCTGTACTTAGGAACAATTACATACATTAGCACTAAAATACAGATCTGAGATATTTTGAGTAAAATTAATCATAATCTTGTTAGGAGACTTCAAACTCGACTTAGGCTCTACAAGTGAGGGTCTAATAAAGAACTCTTAAGAAAGACAGTATTCAGTCCTAGCTTACAGAGATGTTATGTTAAAGAGATATATTCCCTTGGGAGAATAATTGCACAATAAGTAATTGTAACAAATCCATAAATACTAAAAAATTATAAAGGTTGAGAATGAAACATAAGAAAATGTTATCATACCTGAAAAATTCTTCTGCATTTACACCATAAAACCCTGAAATTCTAGTCTCTCTGGTTGTCAGGACAGCAAGGCACTGGGTTCTTCTTACAATTTACTCAGGGTGGATGAAGTTGATTTAAATCTCTCATTTGGCTTCATGTCCATCTTTCTTTACTATGGGCACAAGAATTAGCTGTCTCCATGGTCATTGCCCATCTGCACCGCCCCTTTTCACATCTCCCCTTCTGTTCATCTCTGGCCTGTGAGACTTTGCATCTCAGAGGAGTCCAGATCCTGAGGTAACTCATTAAAGACACAATAATCACCTATCGTGATTATCCCCCGCTTGGACCAATTCTATCAGATCCCTGTAGTGGGGACTGATTACAGTCACTGATTATCCCTAGTTACACTTGTAGGTAAGGTAGAGATGGAAAGAAGCATATGGGAAGGTTCTTACTTATATCCTTTCCAGGTTATAGGCAGGAGTTATGTTGGGCTGGAACCCATTTTGGGGACTTGGGGAAAACATGAAGAATGGTGATCAGGAAACTCTAAAAGTAGGCAGAGATCAGACTGTGAATCATTTAAAATAAATTGAAGCATAAAAATTATGTTAGACGCTCTCAGAGTCTCTGTAGCAGCATGCTACCAGGGAAAACACATTCTTTTGAAAGATTTCTAGGTGGCAGTCTCTCACTACACCCCAAGTTCTTGTAAACAGACCCTAGGAGAGAGACACACATGCTGCTAACAGAGATCAGACTTCTAAGATCTACTTCTGTATATATTCCAATATAGGAAAGGACAATATAGGAAAAGATGTGGTTCCCACCATATTGAATTCTTCATTATGTCAATAGGAAAATCTTTACGGCTTCCACTACCATCATCCCAGCCCCTCTCCATATATTTCAGATAGCTTCCTAATGCCCTGTTACATGCATCCACTATTGACCATGAGGCCATAGCTTCAGGACTTTTTCTTGTACTTGGCAATGATCAGTTTAATGAGGTTCTGCACATAGTAATGCAATGAAAAAATTTAATCCTAGGGGATCTGAATTCTCATTAGTTTTATCTTTATTTGGATGTTATAGATTATTAACTTCTTTTTTGAATGTGGATAGTATTAAGTTGGTTTAAAGACATATCCAGGATTTCAGACACACTACTATCTGTTCTGGTTTTGTGAAGCAACTACATTATCCCTTGATAATTAGCCTTGGCCATCCCAGATAGAATGGCAGTTCTGCTTGTATATTGGTTAACGTAAGAACCAAAAATTACTTGTTTGTGGGCTCAACCTCCAATTCAGTGAAACCGGTATTATATACCCTGATAGAATATATCCCTGGGTACTCTGTAATTCACCTACATAGTATATGCAATTAAACAGATTGGTACACTCATAGTGTATTGCAAGAACTCTATAATACACTATAGAAACTCCTCAGCAACAAAGAATTCCTGTTCTACTTCACAGCTTCTGTATTTACCCAACGCTAGCCCTACCCAGCCAGTCACAGGCAATTCCATTCTACTTCACGTAGAACTGGCCAAAGAATAAGAGACCGCAGAGTGTATATCCTTGGATAGGACTCCTGTATTGAACTTCACCCACTCATGGCTCAGGTGCCACTGAGTAAGAGAGAGTGGAGAGATTGTAAGAGCCAGGGCTGGTTCATGAACACAGGGAAGCAGAGATTTCAGGCCACCGGAAGCTTGAACATGTGAACTTGTAGCAATGATGACATTGAACACAGGACCCATGCCAACTCAATTAAACAAGGGTCTGTAGGGAAGGAGAAAAATGCATAATGGGCAGCACTAGACTGAGAACTATTGGAGACTGATTGTTTCTGGGTGAGGGAGAATATTCCTTACATACAATCTCTGGATGGACTGACTATACTTGAGTGGACAGATTTACACTGAAGGACATCTGGGTACAAATGCTTGACTGGATAGGAATTAACATGTATGGCAGAATACATGAGGTCTAGTGGAGGGATTGGGGAGACATGCATGGGGGAGGGGTCTAAATTTGATTAAGAACTG